TATGAGGAAAAACTGTATCAATTCATAGTATTTTGTGAGGAAAAATTTGTATTTACTTATAATTGCAATTCGTAACTAGCTTAATATTTTAAAAAAAAATTAACAAACCAAATTTTAGAAAAAAACATAACAAAAATAAAAAAAATTATATGGGAAAAAACACTGTAGTAATTCACAATACTTTTCGAGGAAAGTTACGTGTTTTCCTCACATATTGTAACTCTAATTTTTAATCAACTCAATATTAAAAAATAAAATAAAAAGATAATTTTAGAGAAAATCATGTAAAAACACTATAGAAATCAACAATCTTTTAAAGAAAAAATTATAAAATTAAATTTTCAATCAGCTCATTATTAAAACAATTGACAAATATAATTTTGAAAAATAAAAAAATAAAATAGAAAAACTATATGAAAAAATACAGCAGCAATCCACAATATTTTAAAGAAAAAATTACAATTTTTTTTTAACCAGTTTAATAATTAAAAAGAAAAAGCAATAAAAATAATTTTGAAAAAAAATAAATGCAAAAAAAATAAAAAAGTTGAAAAAAATGCAAATATAAAAAACATTATACTATAAATTATTATTATAATTCATAATATATTATGTAAGAAAACAATAATTTCTCTATATCATTTAAAGTATTGTTAATAAAATATCTTAATTAAAATCCATTTTATCTTGTGATTGCATTCCATTTTTCTTTGTTGTTTTTAGAAAAAGACAGGATATCTGACATCATTTATCTTGTCAACTTGATATTTTTCTTGACCATACATATAATTTTTATTTAATTTAATAGGAGGAAGATGAATGGTAGAGGATATTTTTAGATTGCTTGGCTATTAAATTTTGAATATAAAAACTAAAATACTCATCAATTCTCTAATCTATCTAAAAATAGCATGGCCACGATTAGCACCATTCATGAGGCTTTGATATTTGTTTATTTTTATGTTTTAAAAATAATTTTTATTTTAAATTAATTTTTTAGATGGATTTAGATTATTTTGATCTGATGATGTAAAAAATATTTTTTTTTAAAATAAAAAATATTATTATGATATTTTTCTAAAACAATTTAAAAATTAATTATTACTAGATTTTTTTAAAACAATTTATTTATATTTTGTCAAATTATTTTTTTATTGAAAGTAACATTTTGTTCACATGTCAATACATCAGTCTGATACATAACACATTGTTTGCCTCTCTTTTTTTCTTTGAAAGAGTGCATGTCATCACCATAATTAAATAAATAAAAAAGATCTAGGTGCTTCGATCGGCCAGGTTGGCATAAGTGCGTAGCCCTATTTTGGCCTGGTAGGCCTAGGTAAGTTAGGATGGCATGACTGCTTAGCCTTATTTAACATATTTTTTTTTTATGTTAAATGGTCTAAGCGGAAAAAAATATAATTTTATAAATTATTTTAAATAAAATAAATAATAATTAAAATAATAGAGATTAAATATAAAAAATTTTAAAAAATAAAAGATGAAGAAATTAAAATAATAATAATTATCATTTCATAAATTATTTGCAATAAAATAAGTAACAAACAAAAGAATGAGAACCAAATTTAATAGATAAAAACTTTCAATAAAAAAAAAAGATAATGGAAAAGAAAATAACAATTATAAAAATTAAATTTTAGTAGATGAAATTGAAAAATAAATATTAACAAAATATATATATGGTAATCAAAAGTTTGAGGATTAAAACTGATATAATCAACAAATAATATGATATTTTTAAATTTTTCACAACTTCCAGAAAGTGTTTTCCGTCCAAATTTTTCTTTCGCTGGAAAGTGTTTTTCATTGATCAATTTTTCTAATAACGAACAAAGATAGGAAAGTTTAGAAAATAGTTTACCAAAAACCGTTTTTCAAAAAATAAATATGACCTAACTATTTATTCTTAGATTTTTTTTCGAACTTGATATTTTTCTTGACCATACATATAATTTTTATTTAATTTAATAGGAGGAAGATGAATGGTAGAGGATATTTTTAGATTGCTTGGCTATTAAATTTTGAATATAAAAACTAAAATACTCATCAATTCTCTAATCTATCTAAAAATAGCATGGCCACAATTAGCACCGTTCATGAGGCTATGATATTTGTTTATTTTTATGTTTTAAAAATAATTTTTATTTTAAATTAATTTTTTAGATGGATTTAGATTATTTTGATCTGATGATGTAAAAAATAGTTTTTAAAAAATAAAAAATATTATTATGATATTTTTATAAAAACATTTAAAAATTAATTACCACTATATTTTTTTAAAATAAATTATTTATATTTTTTCAAATTATTTTTGATTGAAAGTAATATTTTGTTCACATATCAATACATCAGTGCGATAGATAACACATCGTTTGCCTCTCTTTTTTTCTTTAAAAGAGTGCATGTCATCACCTTAATTAAATAAATAAAAAAGGTCTAGGTGCTTCGATCGGCCAGGTTGGCATAAGTGCGTAGCCCTATTTTGGCCTGGTAGGCCTTGGTAAGTCAGGATGGCATGACTGCTTAGCCTTATTTAACATATTTTTTTGATGTTAAATGGTCTAAGTAGAAAAAAATATAATTTGATAAATTATTTTAAATAAAATAAATAATAATTAAAATAATAGAGATAAAATATAAAAAATTAAAAAAAGTAAAAGATGAAGAAATTAAAATAATAATAATTAACATCTCATAAATTATTTGAAATAAAATAAGTAACAAACAAAAGAATGAGGACCAAATTTAATAGATAAAAACTTTCAATAAAAAAAATAATGGGAAAGCAAATAACAATTATAAAAATAAAGACCAAAATTAATATAAAAATTAAATTTTAGGAGATGAAATTGAAAAATAAATATTCAAAAAATATATATATATATAGTATTCAAAAGTTTGAGGATTAAATATAATATAATCAACAAATAATATGATATTTTTAAATTTTTCATAACTTCCAGAAAGTGTTTCCACACCAAATTTTTCTTTTACTGGAAAATGTTTTTCATTGATCAATTTTTTAATAGCAAACAAAGACAGGAAAGTTTAGAAAATAGTTTTCTAGAAACCGTTTTTCAAAAAACAAATATGACCTAATTATTTATTCTTACATTTTTTTTCAAACTTGATATTTTTCTTGACCATAAATATAATTTTTATTTAATTTAATATGAGAAAGATGAATGGTAGAGGATATTTTTAGATTGCTTGGCTATTAAATTTTGAATATAAAAACTAAAATACTCATAAATTCTCTAATCTATCTAAAAATAGCATGGCCATGATCAGCACCATTCATGTGGCTATGATATCTGTTTATTTTTATGTTTTAAAATAATTTTTATTTTAAATTAATTTTTTATATGGATTTAGATTATTTTTATATGATGATGTAAAAAATATTTTTTAAAAAATAAAAAATATTATTATGATATTTTTCTAAAAACTTTTAAAATTTCATTATTACTATATTTTTTTAAAAAATTATTTATATTTTTTCAAATTATTTTTGATTGAAAGTAACATTTTGTTCACATGTCAGTACATCAATCTGATACATAACACATCGTTTGCCTCTCTTTTTTTTCTTTAAAAGAGTGCATGTCATCACCTTAATTAATTAAATAAAAAAGGTCTAGGTGCTTCGATCGGCCAAGTTGGCATAAGTGCTTAGCCCTATTTTGGCGTGGTAGGCCTAGGTCAGTCAGGATGGCATGACTGGTTAGTCTTATTTAACATATTTTTTTGATGTTAAATGGTCTACGCGGAAAAAAAATATAATTTCATAAATTATTTTAAATAAAATAAATAATAATTAAAATAATAAAGATCAAATATAAAAAATTAAAAAAATAAAAGATGAAGAAATTAAAATAATAATAATTAACATTTCATAAATTATTTGAAATAAAATAAGTAACAAACAAAAGAATGAGGACCAAATTTAATAGATAAAAAATTTCAATAAAAAAAATAATGGGAAAGCAAATAACAATTATAAAAATAAAGACCAAAATTAATATAAAAATTAAATTTTAGGAGATGAAATTGAAAAATAAATATTCAAAAAATATATATATATATAGTATTCAAAAGTTTGAGGATTAAATATAATATAATCAACAAATAATATGATATTTTTAAATTTTTCATAACTTCCAGAAAGTGTTTCCACACCAAATTTTTCTTTTACTGGAAAATGTTTTTCATTGATCAATTTTTTAATAGCAAACAAAGACAGGAAAGTTTAGAAAATAGTTTTCTAGAAACCGTTTTTCAAAAAACAAATATGACCTAATTATTTATTCTTACATTTTTTTTCAAACTTGATATTTTTCTTGACCATAAATATAATTTTTATTTAATTTAATATGAGAAAGATGAATGGTAGAGGATATTTTTAGATTGCTTGGCTATTAAATTTTGAATATAAAAACTAAAATACTCATAAATTCTCTAATCTATCTAAAAATAGCATGGCCATGATCAACACCGTTCATGTGGCTATGATATTTGTTTATTTTTATTTTTTAAAAATAATTTTTATTTTAAATTAATTTTTTAGATGGATTTAGATTATTTTGAGCTGATGATGTAAAAAATATTTTTTAAAAAATAAAAAAAATATTATTATGATATTTTTCTAAAAAAATTTAAAATTTAATTATTACTATATTTTTTAAAAAAATTTATTTATATTTTTTAAATTATTTTTGATTGAAAATAACATTTTCTTCACATATCAGTACATTAGTCTGATACATAATACATCGTTTGCCTCTTTTTTTTTTTTTTTTTTTTTAAAAAGTGCATGTCATCACTTTAATTAAATAAATAAAAAAGGTTTAGTTGCTTCGATCGACCAAATTGGCATAAGAGCTTAATTTTATTTTGCCTGGGTAGGCCTAGGTTAGTCAGGATGGCATGACTGGTTAGCCTTATTTAACATATTTTTTTTTATGTTAAATGGTCTACGTGGAAAAATTATCTATTGTAAAGACTAATTTATTTACTACGATTTTGCAACAAGGCAATATGTTTAATACATGACAATCTAGAGACATTATTTGTTATGATTTTCATATAGTATGATACATGGGTGATCAAGAGCTAGCTTATCAAGGATAAACTTCAATGAGAGATCTTAAACCCAGAACTGGAACTGGGTTGATCTTATACTTACTGAAGCCAGCATCAGTGAATACTTGAGCCCATTCTTTCTCGTTTTTTTCTCTTCCTGCGACCTTCTACCTCCTTTTTGTTCTCCACCATCATCAGCATATCAAAGAAGAGCTGTGTCTCAGTTGACCCTTCTACCTCCTTACTGTTCTCCAACACCGTATCTATGATAATCACCTTTCCTCCTTCTCGGCCCTTAATTGCTTCCTTGCATTGCTTGAGTGTTTTCACACATTCCTCGTCATTCCAGCCATGAAGAATCCACTGATTGTCATCAATAATGAAATAAAAACATGTTAGAAGTGTTAATAGTCTAAACTGAAATAAGATAATTTTTTTTTAAGTTTTGGTGTTGTAAATTTTTTTTTTTAAGTTTTGGTGTTGTAAATTTTTTTTTTTAAGTTTTGGTGTTGTAAATTTTTTTTTTTAAGTTTTGGTGTTGTAAATTTTTTTTTTTAAGTTTTGGTGTTGTAAATTTTTTTTTTTAAGTTTTGGTGTTGTATATGCTTATTAAAAAAAGTCATTTCACCTTCAGCAGAGTTGCATCTGCTTGAGGAATTGCCTCCAACATGTCTCCACCAAGATATTTCTAGTTTTCTCTTCCCTCCAAACCAGCTACCACATGTGGGAGATCAAAGACGGTGCAATCCAAATGCTGGAATTCTTTAGCTATTGCCTTGGCCACAGTTCCAGCGCCACCCCCAACATCAACCAACGAATTTAACCCTTCGAAAACTCCTTGCACTCATTTACCAACACACTCGAAACCAATCGAGCATCACTTGCCATATCTTCATAAACAAAATGATTGAATTTTGTTTCATGGTCAGCATACTGTTGTGTAATTCCAGAACTCAAACACACAGAATTTTACGTGGTTCGGCAACTTGTCTACTCCACGGAGCTACTGATTTGTATTAATCAATCAAAGAAACAATACAAACAAAGATAAGGAGAAAAAACTCTTATCAACTCAACTCTACACACTCAAGCTCTCTCTACAGCTCTCTCTTCATGTTTTTCTCTCTGTGTTTTCACTCTATTCTTCATACAAACTCAGCTCTACAATAATCATATATATATAAGGGTGAAGGGCATAAATCATGCCATGATTTATGCCCACC